GCGATCAAAATCTGCTTGTCAATTTCAGCAGGGGGCATTTATACAGAACGTTTCCTTCTTTGCCGTTGGACATGGCAAAACTTTTATAATGCCCAGACCGTCCTCTTGCATTTGTAGCGCCGCATTAGAAAACTCGGTTTCTGTCAGCCTCACAAATGCTTTTCTGGATCCGTATGTGTCATTATGTATACGACATGTTGTAAATTCGCCCGGTGTAAGAACAAGAGAGAAATTTGTGGGTTTAGCACATGTTGCCGGCTTGATGTTTTCGTATTCATTGAAGGCACCTCCGCTGATATCAGCAAAATTGTATGACTTTTGCACTGTTTCCAATGGTACTTTATCGGGAATAATGATTGCCTTGATAGTAAGCATACTCTGATAGGACGAGCTCAATATGTGGGACAGCATTGAAACTTTTGAATGTTGTCCTCCAACTTCGAAACAAAATCCGATCTATCCATAGATGACTCACCGTTGGCAATTTTCTGGTTGTGTAGAATGCGCATCCATCCGAAGATATTTTCGCAATAAATTCGAAAGCTTCTTCCGAATAAGTGAGTAATAAGCCAGGATGTTTGTCCAAATATTCATACAATTTAATAAACATTTCTTTCAAGTCAACCACCGGCTTTGGCAGACGCTGTTTTGCTTCTCTGCTTTCCGGAATATCAGTAACGATGTTATCGACTGCAGTGACCAGCAACCGGTCTTCCAAGCCGTTTCCGGCTGTCCAAGATTTAAGAATATTACAGAATGGCTGCGGATGCAAACTACCGAAAAACGCAGACGAACTGCGAGGCAGCTTCAACGATCCTGCTGTTTTATACGACACGTTTAAGCTTTGTCCTCCCCAAACTTTGTTCATCAGGCTTGCTGCGTTTTCCTCTGCCAATGTTAGTGTACCGAGTGTTCCCGCTATTTCGTCAGCTATGACAGAACCAAATCCTTTGGTGTCGGCAAGAAATGTACGATAAGCTAAAACAAAGTTATAGTTTGTGAAAGTGCGTTCGTTAGTGTAGAAGTGTGTGTAAACAGTGGCGTGTTTAAACTGTACAAAATTAAAATTAATGGTGTACAAAATTAAAAGAAATATTGTGATGAATAATAATTATTGTATATGGATAATTATTGTATATGTCCATTTATAAACACAAATCTGTTACCTCAAATGTATGCGGATTATCATAGAACTTCTTGTTCTTTTTTTGTGAAATTGCATCCAGAAAGTCTGTACAGTAGTCCTGCAAAGCTGTGCTTTTCCTCCCCGGATTGCAAACAATAAGCAAGTTAATGGCTGGGCATTGTTTCTTGTAGTTCTCTGTGATTTGCAACAGAACTTTCTCTGCGGAAATTGTTGCTGTTGTAGCCAACAACGAACCATAAACAGCCATCTCTTTTGTTCTGTTGGTCTGAGCATGGTAGATTATGCAGTTCAATAAATCACCAGACACGTAGTCTTCAACCTGGTGGCTAAAATTCTTAATGCAGACTTCCTGCACGAACTTAGCCTCATGTTTCGATACGGCGGACAACTTTCCTTTCAATGAAGAGTTCATTTTCAGTTAACGAGTAGTTGCTGGTGTAGTTAAGAAAACTAATTAACCTTTTCCAGTGCTGTATTAATTATAACCTACTTTTAACAAATGCACGTTGGTGTGCATTGGTACAATAGGTCGCAGCTGCCGCAGCGGCTTTTCGCCTTGGATATAGTAATTTGGCTATTAATAAATACAGAATACTTTGTAAAATCCTAACAACAACAACAACAACAAGTACTATTAGTAGTACTAAGTACATCAGTACTATCAGTATTATGTACCACCAGTACTACGTATTACAGTAAGCTCGTATGCTAATCGGATACGACTCACTGAAAAAAAAGGTGTAAGTTGACTCGACAACACTGTATCAGTACCACAAATTTATGATATGTACCACAAAGTGTTATCAGTACTACGTAGCATTAGTGTGTTCTTTACATAACTGACTGCATAGCAACAAAACCATGCGTTTCCAGTTATTATCTTACCATTTATATACAGTATTTATATTGTTTGAAGTTGCTTTCTTTACTATACACAGGGTAAGCGTGTAAATGTGTATTGGAAAGGTCAGGCCTGAATTTATGGACTGTTACGAGATACGGCAGTAGTGTCTACGACAGTAGTCGTTGTAGCGGACATCTTTATGTTTTAACCTTTAAATAATATCCATGTTTTGAATTCTGGTAACAGCATGAAGCAATTTTAACGGTACGACTCGTTTTCGTTACGACTAGTAACATAAGCGTAAATGTGTAGTTATTAAACTTAATGCGAGTGCACAGTATTAGGAATCGATGGTCAATAGATGTTTACTCCCATCGGATATTCATCGTCGGGCGCAACTCGTTTGGTGCCGCGTTCAGTTGAAGCTTTGCGGTTGTAAGGATTTTGATTTTTTAGTTGCTCAATTATTTCCGAGAGTTCACGTTTCTTGGATGGTGGTAATGCAAAGTCCGCGTTGTAGGCACTTTCGTAAACCGTGAAAATCAGCCCGGCAGCGATCAAAATCTGCTTGTCAATTTCAGCAGGGGGCATTTATACAGAACGTTTCCTTCTTTGCCGTTGGACATGACAAAACTTTTATAATGCCCAGACCGTCCTCTTGCATTTGTAGCGCCGCATTAGAAAACTCGGTTTCTGTCAGCCTCACAAATGCTTTTCTGGATCCGTATGTGTCATTATGTATACGACATGTTGTAAATTCGCCCGGTGTAAGAACAAGAGAGAAATTTGTGGGTTTAGCACATGTTGCCGGCCTGATGTTTTCGTATTCATTGAAGGCACCTCCGCTGATATCAGCAAAATTGTATGACTTTTGCACTGTTTCCAATGGTACTTTATCGGGAATAATGATTGCCTTGATAGTAAGCATACTCTGATAGGACGAGCTCAATATGTGGGACAGCATTGAAACTTTTTGAATGTTGTCCTCCAACTTCGAAACAAAATCCGATCTATCCATAGATGACTCACCGTTGGCAATTTTCTGGTTGTGTAGAATGCGCATCCGTTTTACATCCGAAGATATTTTCGCAATAAATTCGAAAGCTTCTTCCGAATAAGTGAGTAATAAGCCAGGATGTTTGTCCAAATATTCATACAATTTAATAAACATTTCTTTCAAGTCAACCACCGGCTTTGGCAGACGCTGTTTTGCTTCTCTGCTTTCCGGAATATCAGTAACGATGTTATCGACTGCAGTGACCAGCAACCGGTCTTCCAAGCCGTTTCCGGCTGTCCAAGATTTAAGAATATTACAGAATGGCTGCGGATGCAAACTACCGAAAAACGCAGACGAACTGCGAGGCAGCTTCAACGATCCTGCTGTTTTATACGACACGTTTAAGCTTTGTCCTCCCCAAACTTTGTTCATCAGGCTTGCTGCGTTTTCCTCTGCCAATGTTAGTGTACCGAGTGTTCCCGCTATTTCGTCAGCTATGACAGAACCAAATCCTTTGGTGTCGGCAAGAAATGTACGATAAGCTAAAACAAAGTTATAGTTTGTGAAAGTGCGTTCGTTAGTGTAGAAGTGTGTGTGTAAACAGTGGCGTGTTTAAACTGTACAAAATTAAAATTAATGGTGTACAAAATTAAAAGAAATATTGTGATGAATAATAATTATTGTATATGGATAATTATTGTATATGTCCATTTATAAACACAAATCTGTTACCTCCAAATGTATGCGGATTATCATAGAACTTCTTGTTCTTTTTTTGTGAAATTGCATCCAGAAAGTCTGTACAGTAGTCCTGCAAAGCTGTGCTTTTTCCTCCCCCGGATTGCAAACAATAAGCAAGTTAATGGCTGGGCATTGTTTCTTGTAGTTCTCTGTGATTTGCAACAGAACTTTCTCTGCGGAAATTGTTGCTGTTGTAGCCAACAACGAACCATAAACAGCCATCTCTTTTGTTCTGTTGGTCTGAGCATGGTAGATTATGCAGTTCAATAAATCACCAGACACGTAGTCTTCAACCTGGTGGCTAAAATTCTTAATGCAGACTTCCTGCACGAACTTAGCCTCATGTTTCGATACGGCGGACAACTTTCCTTTCAATGAAGAGTTCATTTTCAGTTAACGAGTAGTTGCTGGTGTAGTTAAGAAAACTAATTAACCTTTTCCAGTGCTGTATTAATTATAACCTACTTTTAACAAATGCACGTTGGTGTGCATTGGTACAATAGGTCGCAGCTGCCGCAGCGGCTTTCGCCTTGGATATAGTAATTTGGCTATTAATAAATACAGAATACTTTGTAAAATCCTAACAACAACAACAACAACAAGTACTATTAGTAGTACTAAGTACATCGGTACTATCAGTATTATGTACCACCAGTACTACGTATTACAGTAAGCTGTATGCTAATCGGATACGACTCACTGAAAAAAAAGGTGGCAAGTTGACTCGACAACACTGTAAAACTGTCTCGACAACACTGTCTTCATATAACTCATCCATGCAGATTATTATCGAGGGAAATATTGGATGCGGGAAAACAGATCTCATAAAATATCTGGGAGCAGACTGCCGTATTCAAGTAATTTAATTTGTCTGTAATTTTTTTATCTGTAAATCTAATATTGTTCATTACTTTTAAGGCTTTTGAAGAACCAGTTGAAATTTGGAAAACGAAAGACAACCGAAATTTGCTGGTTAACCTGCAGACAAATAATTAGTAGATAAATATGTAATTCAGTTCGCTCACATATATTTTCAGGATCTAATGTACAAAGATCCACGCAAATACGGCTTTGACTTTCAAAAGCTGGTTATGCAAAGCATGATGGACCGCCAAAAAATCTTGCCACCGAAACAATTACTGTATTTGAAAGATCAATTTTCAGTGCGCGTTACGTTTTTACTGAAAGTCTGCGCTCGAGGTACAACACATTTGAAAGTATTGTAGTAAGCATACTTATTTTAAACACCTACTTTACGTTTTAAGCGAACTGCTGGAGAATGTGGAGTACGAAAAGCTTGACGAACTATTTCAAAATTACTCGGCTAAACACCTGCCAGTGACAATGATTATTTATCTCAAAGCTTCGGTTGAAACTTTGCAACAACGAATTCTTTGCCGCGGACGAGAAGAAGAAAGTTGCATCACAAAGGTCACTCAAATTTTAGAAGCTTCATCGAACTGCACAGCAATTTAATTGGAAGTTTATAAAAGGTCATATTATATGAATGTCCATTTTAGGCGTATCTTACAAAGCTTAATGAACTTTACGATACATGGCTCAGTGGAAAGTGCTTTCCGGTTCCCAGTATTATTATGGTAATTCAATAACAATATTAATCGAAATGCTATAGTCCAAATACGAAATCATAGTTAATATCGTCATAGAGAATACGAAAATCATAATAATTATCATAATTATGCAGACCTGCGGTGGTGCGCACTGCACGTCAATAACAAATCGGACTAAAACCTATACTTTGGAATTATAGACTATGAATGCCGAAATTCCACAAGCACAATTATATGCTGATATCAAGGAGCAGATTTTCCGCCTCATTTAATAAGTACGTACATTATCTCTATCCTACATTAACGTAACCGCTAGACTACGCTACACGTACAGTAACTACATTATCATAGCCACTGCAAATACGTAGTTTTTCTTCGTACGATACACAGATCAGCTGCATATTGTACATACAGCAGAAGCTGATTAAGCTGTTGCGCTGTGACAATTCCGCAAAGACAAATAACCATGTTGTGGTACTCTAAGTTGCAACATGCGATTCATCATCTTAAAGATGGCGAACACGTATTTGCCGAACAAATTCTGACCAGCGGATGCAGAAAGTTTCTTGTTTGTACGCAAGCTGAGATGTATTCATTACTTTTATCACGAAATCCGTCCGAACGATCTTTTTATGAAATTCTTTTACCTGGCTATTACTGCAAGTTTTATATGGATATCGAGCTTGTTTACCCGCAGACAATTAAATGCAGATTACTGCTGACTTTACTGAAACAAATCATCGAATACATCGGATTGAAAAAGAAGTCGCACAAAGTTATTGTGCTTGACGCTACTACTGATCGCAAAGAAAGCTATCATTTAATTTGGCCTGCCATTTTAGCAGCTGGAAATCAAGAACACAAAAGTTTAGCGAACGAACTTAAAGCTGATCTTTTAAATATCACATACATCGACTGCGTGGATTTATCTGTTTACAGTCGAAATCAAAATTTCCGCATGTTCATGTGCAACAAGAAAGGCGCGACCAATAATTTTGTACTCCATAACCTTACGACAGAATGTGGACAAATCAAATGTAATTATTTGATTTTTATGCAGTCTTTGATTTGTGGCAGTAGATATCAGGGCAATCAAAAACACACGACTTACATTTTGATGCAGTCAGTGCGCTTGGACAAGCGAATTTTTCATCTGATATTTGTAAGGCTTTTATTCAGATATTAATCAAATGGTCAGAAAACTATCGTAATCTACTGCTCGGTTCGATGCAGTTTTCAAAAAAACATGATGTGTTGCTTTGTATTACTCGCGGACAACAGCATTGCCTTATTGCCAAAAAGAGGCATAAACACAACAATGTTTATTTTGTGCACGTGGATGGAAGCACATCCCTGCAATTTCGTTGTACTGACTCTGTTTGCAAATCTGCTTCCTGTGGAAAATTTGCAACATACACAATCACAATGTTGGAACGTCAAGTCATGGAATTGATACATTCTTCGTTTCAAGTATCAACTGCTTTGCCTAACGTAAGCTTTAAACATTGCAATACGTGCATTTTGTACATTTAGTAATGCTTGTAGTACTACTGTATTCATATAAGTACTTATCGCTGCACTCAAATATCTTCCCTTGTAACCTTGACAATTAGTTCTTAAAGGTCACTCAACAAATTATAGAATTCTTGATGATCTACATGAAATTTATGCTAGTGGAAGTGTTTCATGAAGTGTTTCAAGTGTGTTTCAAGTGAAGTGTTATGAAGTGTTTCAAGCACCATATCTTTGGTCGGAAAAAATATACTTATAGAATGAAGCTGCCAAAATGAATATTTCTCTCGAGGATATCAATCTACCAGATGAAGAAGACATATCGTGCACGGCTTTGCCTTCTAACCAGACGCCTGTCATACAGGTTTATTCTCGTAATAAATATATTCATTAGAATACTCGTAAGAAAAACACCTTCATACTAAAATTATGTGTATTTGCAGCAAATCATAAACGGGGACGTATTACAAAGCGATCTGGTCATCGTACGCCATAAACGGCACATTAACGGAACATGGCTGTTAACAATACAGGACGCATTTAATTTAACATCGAGTGCGGAAGCAATATTGATAATATTTATTTACTGATTTTCGTATTTTTGATAATATTTACACAGACATGTTTTCTGCAGATGTCCAGATCGACAGAAGTCTAAATACTTTAATCGAAGCAGCAGTTCTTCCCAAAGTCGCAAAACTGATAAACGTCAGCGTGATTCACACTTCACCGGAGTAAGATAACAATAAACTTCTATAACAAATTTACAATCCTTTAATAACTGTTCTGTTCAGAAACTATAATAACGGCCGCTATAATTTTCTAGAAAATTTCTGTTCATTCAAAGTTTCCAACTACTCGATACCGCCGCAGACAGAATTCAAAAAATGGTAGATGAATGGGAACCGATTGGCATTAAACGAGAAAACTTTCGCACGTCGAAAGAAATGTTGATTATCGAACTGAATCTGGAATCAGCCAAGTAATGCTGTCGGTCTGCACCATGACAATACACTTAACCGACTGCTGTTAAAACATAACATTAATTAGTATCACTATTATTATCAATGCAGAAATTACTTTGAAATTATTAATAAAATTAAGAATTATTGTTTTTTTGTTTAGAACATAGCACGATCCACAATATAGATTGGAGATAACTGACTAAATATTTTTATTGCTAGCTGTACGATCGATGGGGTCATCTCAAATGTAAAAGGACCCACGAAATGGTTCAAAGACGGAAAGGCTGGAGAGTTCCTCTCCTTCGATATAGCAGACCAAAGTGCTAAAATTCGCGGTGTTATGTTCCAGGACACAATCGCAGACTATTCGCAATTTTTCAAAGAAGGCAATAAGCTACGGATTATCAATCCTCGGATTTTGGAAAAAATCTCGATTTTGCTACATCGGATTATGAAACTAATTTTGAGCTACATATACGTCGTACAACAATTGTACAAAACTCAGTTAAACGATTAAAGTTTTGCTAGTATGCAACTTGTACATATTTACTTGTGCATATTTATTGACATACGTACGTGCTATGTGTACATAATGCTTCACGTATTCACTATCCACGCATGCGTGTTGTCTGTACAGTATGCAGGCAACAGACAGTACAGTATGTACAGACACATAAGAAAATAAGAAAATAAGCAAATAAGCAAATAAGAAAATAAGAAAACTAGAAAACAAGAAAACAAGAAAATAAGAAAATAACTGTACGTATAAAATATTCACGTATTCACTATTAACGCATGCGTGTTGTGTGCAGTGTGTACAGTATGCACAATACAGATACTTCGTAATCGTACTGTACTATAGCGCAAAACACAAAGAAAATAACTGTACGTATAAAATTTATCGTACAAAAAGTTAGGCCAGCATCGTTATCGTACAAAATCGTATTCCTACTTTACTGATTATATTTATTATTAACCTTATTCCTCACTCCATCGGATTCGCTAGTACAAAGATATTTCTTTTATTTACGATCTTTCTTTTATTTATTTACTCATCATTCGAAACGTCCAGTTCATGATTACAGTATTCCACAATATGCTTCATAATATTATCGAAACCATCATGATTTGCGTCATACTTCTTTCTCCATAAAAATTCACAAATATACGAATCGGCCATCTTATCCGTAGTTCCATTTGATGGCAAAGAATCTTTCAGCCATCGCCACATGTTCTCTACGCGATTTGTACATGCGCCGGTAGTCGGGTCCACGAAATTCTCAGAATGATTCACTGTTAGGTGATCATACCCCATTTCTTCAATGCGGCAATATGCCCGCCACTTATCACTCATAATTAGTGTGCCTTCCAAAACATGTGCTTGTAGAATTGGCAGTAATGTTTCAGCAGCCCTGTCATTGACAAAAACAATAAAAGCATCTTTTGTTTCTCTGCAAATACCCCGAACGCCCATTGCTGTTTTCTTTCGTTTGACAAGAGTCTTCCACGATTGTATTTTCTTTTAAAATTAACGATTCGTCAATCTCGACTGTCATTCCAATGCCACCAATTTTCGCAACCGACAAATCCTTAATTATTTTTGCTTCACATACATTTCGCAGCATGAATGACACCTGGACGACAGTGTGTTCGCTAAAATTAAAATGGAAACACAATTTTCGTTGGTTAAAAATTTCATGAGCCCAAAAGTACATCAACTGAACTGCTTTATGAAGTGGAAGATGTGATTCTTCAAAAAAAGTGCCAGTCTTCGCAGAATACTTGCTGTAAGGTGGCTGACTACACCGAAATGTCCATGGGAAGAGTGAACGATCACTTCTACGTGTAATGCGTAGTATTTCTTCACTATGAGCAGGACATACAATTTCCGATCTCAAAAGACCGTGCTCGATGCAAAACTCGAAGGCTTTTTGATCGCAATCATCGATTAAATTCAAAAATTCTTTCAATTTTAACGCCATTTTGCTTTAAAAAGTACCATACGAAAAAAATGCATACGCGAAAGTTCAAAGCCAGTGGCATCATATCAATTTCAATATCAAGACCTAGCAACACCATATAAATACATTTTGCATCGCCGCAGTACCACCGTCCGCAGCGCCGCAGTCCCGCAGCGCCGCAGTCCCGCAAACCGCAGTCCCGCAACCGCAAGTTCTGCAACGCCGCAGACCGCAGCCCTGCATATACGCAGCCCGGCATTCCCGCAGCGCCGCACACCGCAGTCCAGCATACAAGCAGGCCCGCAGTATGCAGCCCAGCATATACGCAGCTCGGCATTTCCACAGCGCCGCATACCGCAGCCCAGCATACAAGCAGGCCCGCAGTATGGAGCCTCGTATCCCGGCATGCTTGCATTCTAGCATTCTCGGCCCACTTCATTTCAGGCCCACTTGTACATTATTACCGAATTTGATACCATGTACCGGGTCACTTCTCTTAAACAAATTTCGATTCCACATTTGTTGGACAGTTATTTTAGATCTTATGAATATACGGATGCCGTATCTCTCCACGGTTTCGGCATTCTCGATCTGCATGTCCACGTGAACTGCGTACACTTATACCTTACCTGTTCTGACTCGTGAGCTGCGCGGTGCAGCAGCCAGATCCTGAGCGCTTTGACGAACGGCTTAGCGGTCTCGCCGACCTGGCAGAACTCGCTGTGGTCGGGATGATGGACGTGGTCTCCCTCCACGTGCAGCTGGATGGTCTCACACGTGACGATCTTCATGTGCGGCTGCTGGCGAAGGTAGTAATTGGCCGGGGCGATCAGCGTGGAAAATGGCTCGAACTCCGGCCAGTGCAGCAAGGAATCCGAACGAAGACACCTTGGAATGAAATCCATGTAAGTCAAGCCGGCACCGGCGTTTCTGGTGGCTGACGCTTCGGATTCCTTGGCCTGGCCTACCATCCAGTGCGTGCAGAGGAGAATTGCTTTGCACAATTTTTATTTACCGGTGCACGGCAATTAATCTGGCGCTTCGTTAGCTGCACAAAATCTGTACGCGGTCCCAATCTGATCTGAATAGCTTATGGGAACAAAGTTGTTAACAAAAAAGATTGGCGGCTGCGCTTAACAAACGCTAAAGCATCTGGACTGCAAATACACCAGAAGTGAGGTTTTTACTATCGGCGATGGATTTTCACATGCAGATTTGCTTGCAGGTTCGGTTTTTCCTCTTCGCGTACAAGCACAAATCTATCGACACGGGCTTGTTGTGTGATTCGTATCCGTGGAGGAAACCGACACGTGCGTTAATCAATCGATCGATCGCAAATCGACTCAGGTTGTAAACGCAGGAAGCACCACCGCGGCAGTGAGGTATAGTGCCTGAATGTGCTCTTCCTGAAATCTACATACTGCCTGTGGATCGGCTGGGTCCGATAAAGCCGCCCATGAATCCGACAGGTAAGGGACGTATCACGTGTTGCGAAGAGCAGATACCATGGCGACTGAACATGGCGGATATGCTAGGCATGCTGGATATACTTCCGCCTGGGGCAGCGCAGATTCGCACGCACGGATAACGTGATGGCGCCCTTACGGTATGGGTCATTGGCACTTTCATTCTGTTACTCTATTCTCGCCCACCGCTTTGGATTATTTACTCGTATAATTACTGTAAATGCACAATACATCTACGCATAACAATTATTTTTTGTTCATGTTCATAAGAGAAATATGAACGGCGAGCAGGACACTGCTGGTTCCACTCTACTGGCAAATGTAATGAGTACTTGTCGTCGCTTCTTTGTAATGCTCCAGCTTCAGCCCTATCACAAAATAAAAAAAATCTAATAAACAACAAGTGTGCATAAACAAACGGAAAGCAATACTGTGATTTACAAAGCTGCCATTATACCGAAATGTCATGCAAAAAATCGCTTAAATAATCCAAGCCGATCACCGGAAATTGCCAATTGCACATGCACTTACATTTTGATTTCCCATGGATACTTGCATTGATACTCGCACCTCGGGCCTACCCAGCGCGCACAAGCACGTAAAATTTTATCTTGCAGTTATTTGGGCAGCTGTTTAAAACTTCAGAAGTAATAAACGAACTACGATACATATTAAAACAAACAGAAAAAAGGAAGGCGCACTTTGCATTATGAAGTGTCATGCGGTATGGCAAGTGTACAGACGCTTTCCTGGCTCACCGGTTTTAAAAGCGAACAATAACAATGGCTGATTTCAAGAAAAAGCTTGCATTCACCTTTAACTACTGTCCTGTAACGAGTTAACGACTATGCAGCACGTTCTTCGCGTTTGACCTTTAACGGTCAACATTCCATGCTTAGTTGCATACACACAAATAAGGCATTTTCTGTGCATTTTTAGCGGTACGCTGAATTTTGGTTGACCGTGAGGTTTAGTGGTTAAAACCAATTAGGTTAATGAACCTTAATCCATAAAAATTTGCATACTAGTTGTGTTAGCTAGTAAAATTTATCCACTAACATCTTTTGGTTTTAACCGGGCCAACCATTCAAAAGTCGATCAAGTACACCTATCCATCTGTAGGATTGGAGGGAATATATTGTCAAAAGCCGTATAGGTATCTGGTATCCGACACTACAAGCACAATCACTCAAAAGTGTGTAACTTGTATTGATAACTACAGCTTGTAGTTTTATACTGCGCACAGAGAACGCTAAAATT